CTTTTGTAACCCCTAATGGTTTTTATAGATACAAACGCATGCCCTTTGGTATGCGAAATGCTGGTCAAACTTTCCAGAGGGTCATTAACTCTGTCATTGCTGACATAGACCAATGTGAGGCCTACATAGATGATATAGTTGTATTTTCTAATACTTTTGAAGAACATATTGTTCAATTGACTGACCTTTTTAGAAAATTGTCTGAAGTTAATTTTACTGTAAACTTACATAAAAGTGATTTCTGTAAAGCTTCAATTACCTATTTGGGTTATCAAGTGGGAACGAACCAAGTTCGGCCCATTGAAGCTAAAGTAGATGCTATTGTAAGGTTACCACCTCCCAAAAATTGTAAAGAGATCAAAAAGTTCCTTGGGATGGCTGGTTACTATAGACGGTTCTGTCAAAACTTTTCAGCTATTGCTGAACCTCTTACTGCATTATTGAAAAAGGGTGTTGAGTTTGAATGGTCAGATAAATGTCAAGAAGCTTTTTTAACCATTAAGTCATTTTTATCAAATGCTCCTGTTATGGCTGCACCAAATTTTAGCAAGCCCTTTAAACTTGCCATTGATGCTAGCAACTTAGCCATTGGCTCAGTCCTATTTCAAGAAGACAACATGGGAATTGACCATCCCATTGCCTTTTTTTCCAGGAAGTTAAATGAAAACCAAAAGAATTATTCTACTATTGAAAAAGAAGCTTTAGCTTTGGTTTTATCATTACAACATTTTGAAGTCTATGTCTCTTCTTCAACCAATCCAGTCAGAGTGTTTTCTGACCATGATCCCCTGAAATTTACCTCTAAGTTAGGACAGACAAATCAAAGAATATTGAGATGGTGCTTATATTTCCAAAATTTTAATCTGGAAATTTCACACATTAAGGGTAGTGATAATGTTGTGGCTGATTGTTTGTCAAGGATGTAAAATCTTGTTACACACATTGATCATGTGACATGCTTTGTGGTTCATTAGGACCATAAACAGGTTTTGTTTGAGTGTCACTCATATGAAAATGAGTGGTGTGAGTTTTGAATTTTTTTCAAAATTCCAACCCTGTTGAATATTTTGTTTATTTTCAGGTGAACCTTAATTAAAGGTGGTTTTTGATTATATGTAATCTTTTATAATAATATGTCTCATATGACTCAATTGATATTGTAGCTAGTCATTGAAATAAAGGTCTTACCCTGGCGGGTTTACCACTTTTAATATTCTCATGGAAAAATTGTAATACCCTTTTTTGAGGAATTTTCATGTATAATTACCTTTTGAAGGGTTACTCCCCTTTCACCAATTGTAAAAGTTGGAGTTACTTCCCTTTTATGTTCAGGGATATTTTCATCTGGTGTTATGATTTTGATTGCCTACATTTGTAAAACATTTTTGTTATTTCATTGCCAGATTGGTTCCTTATGTATGTTTTTTGTGGAACCTATCTGTCACTTCCAAAAAGGGAGGGGATGTGACCTACTGAGGTCGAGTCATTTTTATTTTGACATTGTATAATTCCTTATATGGAATGATTGTGTAACACCTGTGGTTTTTCCACTGACTTATTAAGGTGTTTGAGACATAGAAAATTTCCATTAAAATCTGATTGAATGATTCTGATCAGATGATTATCCCAACCAATGGCGACATGAGTTGAGGATAACCTCCCCTGTCACAGAAGTCTTTAATTGCCCCGCACACTCGCAACACGAGGCAGTTTTTCTTGACCTAAAAGTCTACGAGGCCGTTTTACCTTAGTCAGGCAGCCGTCCATATTGTCCGGCTATAGACTCTGACCATTTGAACGTGAGAGTACTTAAGACCTGTGTGTGCCTTGCTTTCTTCAGTTGATTTAGTCTTCTAGTTTAATATTACTTGTCGCTAAGTAAGTCTTGAAGCTACAGCAGTGTTGTGTGGCCAGTAGCTGTTCTTTAGACAGTGTAGAAATCTGTGATAGTGTTTTTTCCTACATTGTGTAAGTTGGGTTTTTGATATTTTATACATTAAATATTTTATCTAGTTCATCTTTGTGTTTTGCCACATCTGAGTTCGCTGATTAAATGGTCGTATGTAGATTGGATGAGTGTTAATTACAATAGTATCACTAGCTCCCCTAGACATTAATTTCGAGCCCTAGTGGTCGTTGTGTTAAGTGTTCATCCACTTAGGCCGTAAGGCATTTGCATATGACCCCGAAAAAAGAATCCGGGGACGTTCTCCTTCTATTTGGCTGATAGAAAGGTTAACGTTACAATATATATATATATATATAATATGGGGACCTAAAAAATTGGGGGGGGGGGGGGCGTGTTAATAATTTTTGCCTAGGGCGCTAAATAACCTGGCACTGGCACTGGTTGTTCGTCAGGAAGAGCTCTCATATTTGTCGTCAGTGTAAGTACATGAATGTGACGCCACAAAGGTTGCTTGTTAATGCAACTGGCGTCAGTGTAAGTACATGCATGTGACGCCACAAAGGTTGCTTGTTAATGCAACTGGCGTCAGTGTAAGTACATGCATGTGACGCCACAAAGGTTGCTTGTTAATGCAACTGGCGTCAGTGTAAGTACATGCATGTGACGCCACAAAGGTTGCTTGTTAATGCAACTGGCGTCAGTGTAAGTACATGCATGTGACGCCACAAAAGTTGCTTGTTAATGCAACTGGCGACAGTGAGTGCTCGGGAGCCACGCAGATGACGGGGAGTATTTGTCGGAAATCTCAATAGAATTGTTTTCCCTCCAAATGGGTGCGTCTCACCTGTGAGATCACGTAACAACCTGTCGACTGCCTGAAATGCGTATGCATGTGTCATTGGCACCTCGTCCTATATAATTAATTTGGATTGCAGAATATGTTGCGCGTGTTGCGAGCTATTGCATGTGGAAGCAGTAGTGAGCTTTAACGGTATTTTAAATACCGAATTTGCAGTACGTCCACCCGGTAACAATGTTGCTGCTATTCCTGTAGATGCAACGATCATAGGTTCTCCCCTGGCTCTGATGGTATGGATCAGGGTTTTATAGACAAAGGTTTTCCCTGTTTCTGCCGGACCATCTAAGAAGAATCAGGTTTGTCGCGGTCGGGAGTCTGTGTATGCAGCGTCAAAAACAGTGTCAACAGCGTGCTTTTGTTCTGTGTTGAGTTTGTCGTAGTGTTCCATAGCGTGCTTTTGTTCTGTGTTGAGTTTGTTGTAGTGTTCCATAGCGTGCTTTTGTTCTGTGTTGAGTTTGTCGTAGTGTTCCACAGCGTGCTTTTGTTCTGAGTTGAGTTTGTTGTAGTGTTCCATAGCGTGCTTTTGTTCTGTGTTGAGTTTGTCGTAGTGTTCCATAGCGTGCTTTTGTTCTGTGTTGAGTTTGTCGTAGTGTTCCATAGCGTGCTTTTGTTCTGTGTTGAGTTTGTCGTAGTGTTCCATAGCGTGCTTTTGTTCTGTGTTGAGTTTGTCGTAGTGTTCCATAGCGTGCTTTTGTTCTGTGTTGAGTTTGTCGTAGTGTTCCATAGCGTGCTTTTGTTCTGTGTTGAGTTTGTCGTAGTGTTCCACAGCGTGCTTTTGTTCTGTGTTGAGTTTGTCGTAGTGTTCCATAGCGTGCTTTTGTTCTGTGTTGAGTTTGTCGTAGTGTTCCATAGCGTGCTTTTGTTCTGTGTTGAGTTTGTCGTAGTGTTCCATAGCGTGCTTTTGTTCTGTGTTGAGTTTGTCGTAGTGTTCCATAGCGTGCTTTTGTTCTGTGTTGAGTTTGTCGTAGTGTTCCATAGCGTGGGAGTGTTCAGCCTGAGCGTCGAAGACGGAAGATGAATGACACATCGGAATAATGTCTGTGAGGGGTAGGTGTAATTTGTGCAGGTTGAGGCCATGTGGTTGAAGCATGTCATTTATTTCTGCTAGAGCATGCATGCAAGCGGTCCGTGTGGAATATGTTCTGAGAAAGTCCCCAGAAAGGGAGAGTTTATGCGTGTCCCAAAGGTGTGGAACGTTTTGTGGTTCGCCGAAGACACAGATTAAAACGAAAAGTTGTCGCAAAAAAACGCTGGCATTCGTATCTCAGATGCCTCTATAAGTGTATCATGCCATATCTTCTCGTCTTTAAGAAGACCCAATAGTTGGCACGCCTCTTTGAAAGTGTTACATTCCACGCCGTTGACAGTTCGTAGATGCTTGAAACTCGTGATGCTTACGGAACGGGTAAGGAGAAGCCTGAGATAATAACGTTCGGTGTCGTGAATGGCAACAACAGGCATTCTACCGATCACCTTTGCACCTCTTCTAATTCTCTTTTGCTATTGTCCAGAGTATTGTTGGAATGTGTAATGTTGGGGAACATCAGTGCTTCACTGAGTAAGAACAACGTACAGGGCGTCGCCATAGTTAACCCAATGTTCGCAAACAAAGCTTACAGCCATCTTGCGAAGTTCGAGATTAACAGTTTTGTCGATGAAATTTTTCCAGAAATATGCGAAGAATAGAAATAACAGTTACCTGATGAAGGAACTTCGACTACAGTGAAAGACATGTTGACTCAACGAAATATATGTGAAGCGGTGGCCATTGTTAGGAAACAAAGGGGAAAAATCAAAACAAAGCTTCGGGGAGAAATGTGGCTCAGACGACTGTAGGATATAACAAAGCAACTGAGGACACAGGAGCGACTGAGGGCATACTTCTGCGGATACACACTGTTTCGCATGCCTCCTTCCACAGTCCCCCCCCCCCCTTCGTGAGAGCAGCGTCCGTGTTTACATAAGACTATTAGAAGATCAAGCAGAACTTGTATTTACCTCCCCATTGTTTCAAATCGTTTAAAAACAAACTAAATTATCTGCCCATGATTGTCGTCACTAAATCGACCCAGCTCTACGATGGTAGAAGAGAATTATATAGGTCTAGGTCTAGAATCTACAATCTAGATCTATATAGGTCTAGGTCTAGAATCTAGATCTATATAGATTATTATAGATTAAAAACTCAACAAACAAGACGACATTATTTTCGGCAGAACGGATGGAACTTACTATTAACAATAGGCAACAAAATACTTAGGATTAGCCAACACAAAATGGCCAAAATGATGTAGATAAACATTTTTTCATGTTTTGATGGAAACTTTTCCCTTACAAAATAGTTTTAAGAAGAAAATTACCATTGTGTTCATTCCGTGTTATTCTAAGTGCGCACTGGATTTGCGTTAAGACTTTTTATTGGTATAACAGGAATTTGAGTTGGAAAAACTCTAAGCTTTTGTTAGTGCGCAAGTGTAATATAGATAAACATATTCGCTTAGGAAAAATATATTCCTAAAATCGTACCCTTTACAGATATGGTGTAATAATTTAACCAACACTCAAATTAGGACCACTGCTAATTAATACCAATATTAATTTTTTTTTGTCTTCGCTTAACTGCTTTAATAAATGTAGGTGGGATAACGTTGTCTGATGAGAGATAGAGAGAGGCAAAAAATCGAAATCGTGATTTTCACAAAAATGGACGTTTTACACCTACCTGAGTCGGAAAAACATAGTTTAGCAATTTTGTCCGTATGTCTGTGTGTGTGTATGTACGTATATGTGTAAGTGAGTATGTGTGTATGTTTGTATGTGTGTGTGCGATAGACTATTGATAAGAGAAGTTACTATAGTCTTTAACAAAATCGAATCCGGGCGTCCTCCGGCGCCCCAACATGGGCTAATTGGCGCCCCGGGCCGTACCTTGAACGCTATGACACATGCGTTCGGTTTAGTGAGTTTGATAGACTATGGATAAGAAGGGTTACTACAGTCCTTAACAAAATAGAATCCGAGCATCCTCCGGCGCGCAGCGGGGTCCTATTTGGTTCACGGGGGATCTAACCGTGAGCGCTATGGCGCCTACGTTCAGTTTAGAGAGTTCTAAAGACTTTGGATAAGATGGGGTATCATAGTCGCTTACTAAGTTGAATCAGGTGAGTTGGCGCCACGGGCTATACTGTGAACACAATGAGTTTATGTTTGCATTAAAATTTAGGTTTATGTTCTGCGTCATTTTTTTTTTGCGTTTAGGTTTGCGTTTGCGTTTGTGTTTGCATTTGATTTTGGGTTGTGTTTGTGTTTATGTTTCAGTTTGTGTTTGCTTTTGTGTTTGTGATTTGCTTTGATAATTGCGTTAGTGTTTGCGTTTTTATTTTCTCGTATATACGAAGTATAGAGAAAGTCTTGTTATCGTGCAAAAAAAAAATCGAGATTTTTACAAATCTCGACGTTTTACACCTCACTGATACGGAAAAACATAATTTTGCAATCTTGTCCGTATGTGTGTGGCTGTGCGTGTGTCTGTGTGTAAACACGATAACTTGAGTACCGTTACAGCTAGGTTGATGAAATTTCATATATAAGTATTTTATCAAACTCGTAGATCCTGATCATCTTTTGAGCGATTTCCGATAAACGGAAGTGGTACTTTTTACTTTCTCGTATATACGAAGTATAGAGAAAGTATTGTAATCGTGCACAAAAATAAATTGAAATTTTAACAATTTTCACCGTATTACACCTCAGTCCTTCTTCACATCCGAAGTATAGAGGACTTATTTTAATCGGGCAAAAATTGTCAATCCAGATTTATCAAAATTAAAAGGTTGTATGCGTAATCCAGTCTGAAAAACTGGACTTTGCAATTCTGTCTGTATGTCTGTGTGTCTGTGTGTGTGTCTGTGTGTGTGTGTGTAAACACGATTACTTGAGTACCGTTACAGCTAGCTTTCTGAAATTTCATATATAAGTATTTTATCAAAATCGTAGATCCGTATCAACTTTTGAGCGATTTCCGATAACCGGAAGTGGTACTTTTTCTACTTTGAATTTTTCAAAAGCCTATAACTTGAGTACTATTTCAGATAGATAAATGAAATTTCACATGTAAGTAAAACATCTAATTTTCTACCTTCTGTCAAATTTTGAGTAATTTCCGTTGACCGGAAGTAGTAATTAACGCTACTTCCGATTTCTCAAAAAACTAATGTAAATTTTAAAAGTACTAATAATATTGCGCACTATTATGCGCTTTTTTATTTGGCGTTCACTTGGTGTGCAATTAATTTGTCTACGAGATTTTATTCTATTTTAAAAACTTTAAGTATTTAAAATGGATTAAAAATCATGTCTATAGCCCGAGTTCCCATCCCCTGTTATTTTATATAAGAACGAGCCGACCCGCTGCGTATCATACGCCGCTATTTAGTTGTTGTTTTTCTACTTTTCAGTAATTTATAATTTGTGAATTCGACAGTACCAATGCTGCCATTGAAAATATTTGCTTAAAATCACTTACCCCCCCCCCCCCCCACATGAAAGCAGCCTCCTCTTAGTTACCTCCTCTAAGTTTAAAATCGTTTCAAACTAAATTATCTGCCCCTAATAGCCATCACCAAACCCGTCTCTATGATTGTAAAATGTAAACAGAGTGAACACCGCTCACCAGACAATGTGGGGGTGGGGTGGGGGTGGTAGTGATAGTGATAGAGAGGAAGAGAGGGGACTGCAAAGGCGCGCTTGCAGCTTGTTTTCTAACTGATCCCAGAAGAGAATTATATATATAGATATTCGAGAAAGTTTTGGGGAGATCACTCCCGGTTTATTCTACTTTGAATTTATAAAAAGTCATGATTGTGTTCTTGTATGATTGTCTTCTGTCATGATTGTATGAACAGTATTCTGGCAGTAGAGTCTGCTAGTTATAAAACACACTTGAAAACATGATTGTTCTGGTGTTGCTTTGTTTTATTTTTCAAACTAAGCTTCAAACATCCAAATAAATACAAGAGACATAAAAAATTATAGCAAATAATTACATTAATTACAAATAGGGCTACATGTATTGTAATAAAACTGTACAAACAGGGCTAGAGGTACTGTAATAAAACTGTAATAAAACAAAATGACTCTGATCTTACTAGAGAAGCGTTGAACTGTGGCAAAACTATGAGGGGCAGGGTTGTAGCTATGTGGTTTAGAGGGGTGCATCGAGTGTGGGTGTGGGGGTGGGGTCTGTGAGGGTTCTGGTACCCCTAGGCGTACCCCACACCGCTGGCGGCGCTGTGCGGGTGGTTGCACCAGCCGAACGTCTGCCGGTCGAGGTTGTAGGCCGGGGCTTTTATGTAATGATGCATAAAAAGTAGAAAATAAATTATACACTACTATTTAAATTACTATAAAGAAAAGCGTGGGTTTTTTAGTACTTTAGTACCTATTGGATACCTTTACTAATATTTGAGAAGAGACCCACGCTTTTCTTTATAGTAATTTAAATAGTAGTGTATAATTTATTTTCTACTTTTTAGTGCATCATTACATAAAAGCTTGTTATTAAAACGTTTTTTATGAATTTTTTTTTCAGTACTTTACATGTTTTATTTGCAATAGTGTTACAAGACTAAAAACCATTGCGCGTCTATTGAACGTGATAGCGCAGCTATTAAACCTGATTGAACGTGATGACGTATGTGGTGTGGTTGGATAGACATGCCTACTAATTCGGTCCAAATTTTAATTAATTCATAAAAAATTAATTAGGCATCCAATTAAGTCAAATTTAGATTCAGATTGCATTGTCTTCATGTCTTGACCCACGTGCCAACTGTGAATCGTATCGATCGGTCAAGTAGAACTGTCCGAATTTTCACTCCTGCGTTTCCATCTAGACTGACGACAGACAGTCGACAGACTGTCGACAGAGGAAGTGAGTTAAATAAATGCTTGTAAAAACGTTTTAATAATAAGCTTTTCTTTATAGTAATTTAAATAGTAGTGTATAATTTATTTTCTACTTTTTAGTGCATCATTACATAAAAGCTTGTTATTAAAACGTTTTTTATGAATTTTTTTTAACTTTATTCCCCTTACGTAAATAATGTGTTTTTATTTATTACTTGTTTCGTCAGTCTGTGGTTCAGACTTGCCGCCCCTTGTACCCGACCGATTTATTGTGAGTCAAGGCCTATGACCTCGCAGTTTTACTTTCTCGTAAACGAAGTATAAAGGAAGTATTGTAATCGTGCAAAAAATCGGAAAAACATAGTTTTGCAATTTCTTACTTCTCTCTCTCCCTCCCTCTCTCTCTCTCTCTCCCTCTCTCTCTCTCTCTCTCTCTCACTCTCTCTCTCTCTCTCTCCCTTTTTCTGTGACTTTATTTCTGTGACTTTTTTTCCGATAAAATATTTCAATAGTGACATTTTTTCTGAGACTTTTTTTTCTAGCAAAAACTGTGACTTTTTTTCTGTGGTTTTTTCCCGTGACTTTTTCTCCGCTCACCGAAAAGTTACCCGCAAAAAATATTCTTCACCAAACCCTCCCCAACACCTTTCCCAGGTGGCCTTGACCTACCTGGTGTCGGCAGGAACCCGGAGTTTAAAAATGGACGGCTAGAATTTAGCTGTGAACCCGGCAGAAGAAGGTCTTGTCAATCTTTCTCCTGTGGTAGGTCATGTTAGGTCACGTGGTAGGTCATGTTAGGTCATATTGGTGTCAGTGTGTGTTAGTGTGTGTGTCAGTGTGTGTGTCAGTGTGTGTGTTAATATGTGTGTCAGTGCGTGACTCACTCAATTCACACAGTTAAAACTCATTCAATTCACACTACTAAAACTCACTCGATTTAAAAAAAAACTAAAACTCACTCAATTAAAAAAACTAACTATTAATTCACACAACTAAAACTCTAGAAAAAAAAAGAGAACTTGCTTTCTTTTTAGCGTTCAGTAGATGAATCAAGTTGTTCATTCTAGATTTGATGGTAATTAATGTGTATGAACATTTTTTTTATTGTAGCTGTAGGCCTAAGTATCGCTCAACTATTGTAGGCTAATGTGGTGTCTTGACGGCTAACTGTGGTGTATGGACGGCTAACTGTGGTGTATGGACGGCTAACTGTGGTGTATGGACGGCTAACTGTGGTGTATGGACGGCTAAATGTGTGTGTGGACGGCTAAATGTGTGTGTGGACGGCTAACTGTGGTGTATGGACGGCTAAATGTGGTGTGTGGACGGCTAACTGTGGTGTGTGGACGGCTAATTGTGGTGTGTGGACGGCTAAATGTGGTGTATGGACGCCTAAATGTGGTGTGTGGACAGCTAAATGTGGTGTATGGAGGGCTAAATGTCGTGTGTGGACAGCTAAATGTGGTGTATGGACGGCTAAATGTCGTGTGTGGACAGCTAAATGTGGTGTATGGACGGCTAAATGTGGTGTGTTGACGGCTAACTGTGGTGTATGGACGGCTAAATGTGGTGTGTGGACGGCTAAATGTCGTGTGTGGACGGCTAACTGTGGTGTATATACGGCTAAATGTGGTGTGTGGACGGCTAACTGTGGTGTATTGACGGCTAAATGTGTGTGTGGACGGCTAACTGTGGTGTATGGACGGCTAAATGTGGTATGTGGACGGCTTAATGTGTGTGTGGACGGCTAAAATGTGATGTATGGACGGCTTAGATGACATTTGTATATGGACGGCTAAAATGACATTTGTATATGGACGGCCAAAATGACGGGTTCTATGAAACGCTAAATTGACGTGATGTATGGACGGCTAAACGTATTGTGCGGAGTGGTGTATGGACGGCTAAATGACGTATTGTATGGACGGCTAAACGTATTGTGTGGACGGCTAAATGACGTATCGTGTGATCCATCAATCCACCTCTTCTACCGTGGGCCCGCCTTGCTTTGAGCAACCACTCTATGAGCACGGGTGGAGCTTGGTCATGATGGGTGAGCAGATCTTCTGCAGGTGCTTGAGCCTGTCTTCAAACTCCTCTTTCTCGACCAGCGTGTTGGCGTTCATCCAATCCAGGGCGTCCTTACATGCGGTCAAGGCCGTGTTGCGATCCGATTTTGACAGTTTCTCCCCCACAGTTTCCACAGCTTGCTTGACACTAAAAATATAATTCTCAAAGCGGTTTTTGGCCTCGACCCGATCGCGTTGTTTCTCGTCCTCGGCCTTGTAGCGTTCAGCATCGGCCACCATTTTGTCGATCTGCGCCTGCGTCAGCCTCCCCCTCTCGTTCTTGATCTTGATGTTGTTAGACTTGCCCGTGGTCTTGTCCAGGGCGGTCACGTTCAGGATGCCATCGGCGTCGATATCAAACGTCACCTCGATCTGAGGCACCCCCCGGGGCGCGGGGGGAATCCCCTTCAGCTTAAACGTCCCCAAAAGGTTGTTGTCTTTGGTCATTGAGCGCTCGCCCTCGAAGACCATGATATTAACGCCGCGTTGGTTGTCTGTGTAGGTCGAGAAGAGCTTTGACGTTTTAGTGGGGATCGTTGTGCCTCGCTTGACCAGCACGGACATGACTGAGCCGTGGGTCTCGATCCCCAGGGAGAGGGGCGCCACGTCCACCAGGAGAACGTCCCTGATGGCCTGGCTCTGGTCGCCAGTCAGCACGGCCGCCTCGACGGCCGCCCCGTAGGCCACGGCCTCGTCCGGGTTGATGGACTTGTTGAGCTCCTTGTCGTTGAAGAAATCCGAGAGAAGTTTCTGCACCTTGGGGATCCTGGTGGAGCCTCCCACCAGCACCACCTCGTGGATCTTGCTTTTGTCCAGCTTGGCGTCTTTTAGGGCCGTCTCCACCGGCTGGATCGTTGATCGGAATAGATCGATACACAGCTCTTCGAATCTGGCTCGCGATATTTTTGTGTAGAAGTCGATTCCTTCAAAGAGAGAATCGACTTCGATGGAGGCTTCAGTGCTGTTAGACAGAGTTCTTTTGGCGCGCTCGCAGGATGTCCGCAGACGGCGGATGGCTCTGGCGCTGCCGCTCGTGTCCTTGTTGTGCTTCCTCTTAAACTCCTCCACAAAATGGCTGACCAGACGGCTGTCAAAGTCCTCCCCTCCCAGGTGGGTGTCGCCTGATGTCGCTTTCACCTCAAACAACGAGCCCTCGTCGATGGTTAAAATGCTGACATCAAAAGTGCCGCCACCCAGGTCGAAGATTAAGACATTTCTCTCCCCTTTCATGCCCTTGTCGAGCCCAAACGCCAGCGCTGCCGCGGTTGGTTCGTTGATGATCCTCAGCACGTTCAGACCGGCAATGGCGCCAGCGTCCTTGGTCGCCTGCCTCTGTGAGTCGTTGAAATAGGCCGGCACCGTGATGACGGCATCCGACACTCGCTGCCCCAGGAACGCCTCGGCCGTCTCCCTCATCTTGGTCAGCACCATCGAGCTGATCTCCTCCGGAGCGAAGAGCTTCCTCTCGCCTTTGTATTCCGCTTCAATCTTCGGCCGACCTTCAGACTCCACGACCTTGAAAGGCCAAAGTTTCATGTCACCCTGCACCGTTTTATCCGTGAACTTGCGGCCGATGAGACGTTTGGCGTCGTAGATGGTGTTGGTGGGGTTCATGGCCACCTGGTTCTTGGCGGCGTCCCCCACCAGACGCTCCGTGTCGGTGAAGGCCACGTAGCTGGGCGTGGTCCTGTTGCCCTGGTCGTTGGCGATGATCTCCACCTTGCCGTGTTGGAACACCCCCACACACGAGTAGGTCGTCCCTAGGTCGATCCCAATGGCTGGCGCTTGCTTTGGCATCTGAAATCATCCAATTGGTCACACACTTTAACGGGGAGTTTAGACCAAATTGGTCAGATACTTTAACCGGGAGTTTTGACCAAATTGGTCAGACACTTTAACAGGGAGTTTAGACCAAATTGGTCAGACACTTTAACAGGGAGTTTAGACCAGTTTTGTGAGACACTTTAACCGGAGTTTAGACCAAATTGGTCAGACACTTTAACAGGGAGTTTAGACCAGTTTTGTGAGACACTTTAACCGGAGTTTAGACCAAATTGGTCAGACACTTTAACCGGAGTTTAGACCAGTTTTGTGAGACACTTAAACCGGAGTTTAGACCAAATTGGTCAGACACGTTAACCGGAGTTTAGACCAGTTTTGTGAGACACTTTAACCGGAGTTTAGACCAAATTGGTCAGACACTTTAACCGGAGTTTAGACCAGTTTTGTGAGACACTTTAACCGAAGTTTAGACCAAATTGGTCAGACACTTTAACCGGAGTTTAGACCAGTTTGGTCAGATAAATTAACGGGAGATTTGATCGGGTCTGCAGCCAATCATATTATTGCACCCCAAGGATGCCAGTTCTATTCACAAATCTTTGGTAAATTATTTTAAAGCAGGGTTAAACGTTTAATGTAGTTGCTTATAGAAAAAATAATTCAGAAAATATATACTTTAATAACCCCCCCCCCCCCACCCCCGGAGAAATATGTCTAAACCAAAACCTAGTTTAATGTATAATCGCTTCTACGGGAAACCTCTGCTGTTAATATAAGCTCTTGTAATCTAACATGGGGAAGAAAGGACTCGAATACAAGAACAACTAATTAAGACACATCAAATCAAACATTCTTCCCTTCCAAACATCTATATCTATAGCAGTCCTACCGACGTTTTTTTACATTTTTTAAATTTATTTTAACCCTTAAATGCATAATTTTTAACAAATCCTTAAAAAAATTATTACAATCGTTTTGATGGATATATGCATAATATAGTGACGAAAAATTTAGTTTGAACATGTACTTTAATTTTTTTAAATTGTTGCATGTGGTGTAACATAATATTTGGAGGAGGTGTACTCCGGTGGTAGGGTGGTGTGAAACATAGTTCTAGATGTTGAATAACAGATGTAGGTGTAGAATAAAAGATGTAGACGTAGAATAACAGATGTAGATGTAGAACAACAGAGATAGGTGTAGAATAACAGAGGTAGGTGTAGAATAAGATCCGGGGTTTGTGTAACGGTCAATAGAGTCGGACTTATGTAGAGAAAACAAATGATTGCAACTAACAAAAACTAGAGCTACCAGGAAAATCTGGAGCTGAAATAACGTGACAGATTTTTTTTTCGTTGCGTTTGTGGGAAAGTACATGCCTGGACAACTCACCTGTAGCGTGTCTCTGTCTCTGACCAACTCACCTGTAGTGTGTCCCTGACCAACTCACCTGTAGTGTGTCCCTGACCAACTCACCTGTAGTGTGTCTCTGACCAACTCACCTGTAGTGTGTCTCTGACCAACTCACCTGTAGTGTGTCTCTGACCAACTCACCTGTAGTGTGTCCCTGACCAACTCACCTGTAGTGTGTCTCTGACCAACTCACCTGTAGTGTGTCCCTGACCAACTCACCTGTAGTGTGTCCCTGACCAACTCACCTGTAGTGTGTCTCTGACCAACTCACCTGTAGTGTGTCTCTGACCAACTCACCTGTAGTGTGTCTCTGACCAACTCACCTGTAGTGTGTCTCTGACCAACTCATCTGTAGTGTGTCTCTGTCTCTGACCAACTCACCTGTAGTGTGTCTCTGACAAACTCACCTGTAGTGTGTCTCTGACCAACTCACCTGTAGTGTGTCTCTGACCAACTCACCTGTAGTGTGTCCCTGACCAACTCACCTGTAGTGTGTCCCTGTCTCTGACCAACTCACCTGTAGTGTGTGTCTCTGACCAACTCACCTGTAGTGTGTTTCTGTCTCTGACCAACTCACCTGTAGTGTGTCTCTGACCAACTCACCTGTAGTGTGTCTCTGACCAACTCACCTGTAGTGTGTCTCTGACCAACTCACCTGTAGTGTGTCTCTGACGAACTCATCTGTAGTGTGTCTCTGTCTCTGACCAACTCACCTGTAGTGTGTCTCTGACCAACTCACCTGTAGTGTGTCTCTGACCAACTCACCTGTAGTGTGTCTCTGACCAACTCACCTGTAGTGTGTCCCTGACCAACTCACCTGTAGTGTGTCCCTGTCTCTGACCAACTCACCTGTAGTGTGTGTCTCTAACCAACTCACCTGTAGTGTGTTTCTGTCTCTGACCAACTCACCTGTAGTGTGTCTCTGACCAACTCACCTGTAGTGTGTCTCTGACCAACTCACCTGTAGTGTGTCCCTGTCTCTGACAAACTCACCTGTAGTGTGTCCCTGACCAACTCACCTGTAGTGTGTCTCTGACCAACTCACCTGTAGTGTGTCTCTGACCAACTCACCTGTAGTGTGTCTCTGTCTCTGACCAACTCACCTGTAGTGTGTCTCTGACCAACTCACCTGTAGTGTGTCTCTGACCAACTCACCTGTAGTGTGTCTCTGTCTCTGACCAACTCACCTGTAGTGTGTCTCTGACCAACTCACCTGTAGTGTGTCTCTGACCAACTCACCTGTAGTGTGTCCTTGTCTCTGGCCAACTCACCTGTAGTGTGTGTCTCACCAACTCACCTGTAGTGTGTCTCTGTCTCTGACCAACTCACCTGTAGTGTGTCTCTGACCAAATCACCTGTAGTGTGTCTCTGACCAACTCACCTGTAGTGTGTCCTTGTCTCTGGCCAACTCACCTGTAGTGTGTCACTGACCAACTCACCTGTAGTGTGTCTCTGACCAACTCACCTGTAGTGTGTCTCTGACCAACTCACCTGTAGTGTGTCTCTGACCAACTCACCTGTAGTGTGTCTCTGACCAACTCACCTGTATTGTGTCCTTGTCTCTGACCAACTCACCTGTAGTGTGTCTCTGACCAACTCACCTGTAGTGTGTCTCTGACCAACTCACCTGTAGATTGTCTCTGACCAACTCACCTGTAGTGTGTCTCTGACCAACTCACCTGTAGTGTGTCTCTGACCAACTCACCTGTAGTGTGTCTCTGTGATGGTTCGGATGGGGTGGAGGAAATAGCCAAAGGCACACATTGTGGCAAACAACTCTTAGTCTGAAAATTAATTGTTACTTAATAAAAAGTAATTTTACCAAGCTTAAGGTTTCGAAAAAGTGTACGTTTTCAAAATTTCTTCATAATTTAAATTTTATTTTTCGTTCACTTATCAAAATGTTTTAAATAAGCAGAAAGAAAAAAATAATTACTCACTTTGCAATAGGTTTCCAAAAAAGGAACACCGAGATTTTCTTAATAAATTCTAGAAAAAAAAAAGTACATAGTATTAGGATATAGCAATGACAAATGATCATAAGACAAGTAATCTCAACCACAATACATTAGACAAAATAACTCAATGACAAAATAACTCAATGACAAAATATCTCAGGATAAAATACATTAGACAAAATAACTCAATGACAAAATATCTCAGGATAAAATACATTAGACAAAATAACTCAATGACAAAATATCTCAGGATAAAATACATTAGGATAAATTATATCATCGACCAAATATACCAAAAAATTTTCTCATACAAGATAACCTACGGCACAATAATTATCGTATTTAAAATGGTTTTAATCAATGCGATTATCTTTTAGTAATTGTATTACTTCTTTATACTTTCTCGTATATACGAAATATAGAGAAAGTCTTGTAATCGTGCAAAAAAAAAATCGAGATTTTTGCACATCTCGACGTTTTACACCTCCCTGGGTCGGAAAAACATAGTTTTGCAATCTTGTCCGTATGTCTGTATGGTTGTGTATGTGTGTATGTGTGTCTGTAAACACGATAACTTGAGTACCGTTACAGCGAGTTTGATGAAATTTCATATATAAGTATTATATTAAAATCGTAGATCCTTATCAGCTTTTGAGCGATTTCCGATAACGGGAAGTGGGACTTTTTCTACTTTAAATTTTTTTTTAAACCCAGAACTTGAGTACTATTTCAGATAGATAAATGAAATTTCACTTGTAAGTAAAATATTTAATTCTCAAAGTTTGTCCCGGGGTGGGGGGCGACAAATTGAAAGTTTGTCCCCGGGCGCCTGGAAGGGTCGCCACGCCTCTGCCTCGGGGGTAACTTGCAGTAAGTCTGCAGTTCAAACAGGTTTAGCTTATTTTCAAAATCTGTCATACTTAATGTAGACAAATGCAGACATAATTATAATTAGTATACGTAGACAAAACCGAAATTATTATTATATTCATGATGATTATTTGTAGAATACAGGATAGTACAGAATAATAGTTCTAACAATCCAAAAAACTTGCATTTTACATTGTAAAATCACAACGCTATGGACTGATTTTTTTTTCAAAAGAATTTTTCCGAAAACAGCGTGTGTTCACAGTGGTTTAAAAAGAAAGGGAAAAAGAATATACAAGAGCGTGGGATGGTGACTATAGCATAAAGACAAGCAAACCGCAGCTACAGTAATCTTTTTACAAAAAAAAAACCCATCAAGTCAGAAATGCAAGAAAATTAAATGTTTAACTATAAAAAAAAAATTCAATTATGGTCGGCTGTGGGCCCCTAAATGGCGAGCCCCCCACCCCCGCATTCCGCCACTGTAGTTCCGCCCCTGTAGTTCCGCCCCTGTAGTTCCGCCCCTGTAGTTCCGCCCCTGTAGTTCCGCCCCTGTAGTTCCGCCCCTGTAGTTCCGCCCCTGTAGTTCCGCCACTGTAGTTCCGCCCCTGTAGTTCCGCCCCTGTAGTTCCGCCCCTGTAATTCCGCCACTGTAGTTCCGCCCCTGTAGTTCCGCCACTGTAGTTCCGCCATTGTAGTTCCGCCACTGTTACTAGACCTATACTTAGAACAATTAGAATATTTTATTCCGGTTGCTTTCCTTTATGACATGTATACAATATCAACCAAAAGACACCTGCGGATAAACTTACTGACTGCAAACATTTAGAAACGTCGTTGACGCATAACGCAGGCCGTTTAGGGAGGGGGGGGGGGAGCCAAATCCGACAAAAAAAATTATATTTTTCTGCACCTTAAACAAAAAAGCTACAAAATGTGTATTATGAAATACGAGCCGGCCCGCGGCATAACATACGCCGCTATTTAGTTGTTTCTAATTTTCAATAATTCATAATTTGTGAATTCGACAGTACCAACGCTGACACTGAAAATATTTCTTTAAAACACTATAAGTAGCTCGTTAAGGACCATAACCCCCCCCTTCCTTCCCCCCCCCCCTACGTTTAAAATCGTTGGCTCTGCTTGTAAACATTTAGAGTGAACACAGCTCACTAAAACCATGTAGGGGTGGGGAGGTAGGGAGAGCGTTTGCAGCTTGTTTTCTAACGGCTTGAAGAAGAGAATTATATATATAGATAGATAGATAGGAAAACTTTTAAGCCAGTTATATGACTTTTTGCTCTACTTTAAATAGTCGAATAGTGGTGCCGATATAGGTAATTAAAACAGTTCTGTACTAAGCGAATTAAAACAAAATTTCTTATCTTAATAATTATTAAAAGTAAGCATCCTGACGAATGACTACGGTATAAAAAGTAATTATAAATACACACACACATATATATATATATATATATATATATATATATATATATATATATATATATATATATATATATATATATATATATATATATATATATATATATATATATATATATATATATATATATATATATATAATATGGGGACCTAAAAAATTGGGGGGGGCGTGTTAATAATTTTTGCCTAGGGCGCTAAATAACCTGGCGCCGGCACTGATTGTTCGTCAGGAAGAGCTCTCATATTTGTCGTCAGTGTAAGTACATGCATGTGACGCCACAAAGGTTGCTTGTTAATGCAACTGGCGACAGTGTAAGTACATGCATGTGACGCCACAAAGGTTGCTTGTTAATGCAACTGTCGTCAGTGTAAGTACATGCATGTGACGCCACAAAGGTTGCTTGTTTATGCAACTGGCGTCAGTGTAAGTACATGCATGTGACGCCACAAAGGTTGCTTGTTTATGCAACTGGCGTCAGTGTAAGTACATGCATGTGACGCCACAAAGGTTGCTTGTTAATGCAACTGGCGACAGTGTCAGTACATGCATTTGACTCAACAAAGGTTGCTTGTTTATGCAACTGGCGACAGTGAGTGCTCGGGAGCCACGCAGAATGACGGGGAATATTTGTCGGAAATCTCAATAGAATTGTTTTCCCTCCAAATGGGTGCGTCTCACCTGTGAGATCACGTAACAACCTGTCGACTGCCTGAAATGCGTATGCATGTGTCATTGGCGCCTCGTCTCATATAATCAATTTGGATTGCAGAATATGTTGCGCGTGTTGCGAGCTATTGCATGTGGAAGCAGTTGTGAGTTTTAATGGTATTTTAAATACCGAATGTGCAGTACGTCCACCCGTTAACAATGTTGCTGCTATTCCTGTAGATGCAACGGCTATAGGAATTTCTCCCCTAGCTCTGATGGTGTGAATCGGGGTTTTATAGACAAAGGTTTTCCCTGTTGCTACCGGACCATCTAAGAAGAATCAGGTTTGTCGCGGTCGGGAGTTGGTGTATGCAACGTCAAAAACAGTGTCAACAGCGTGCTTTTGTTCTGTGTTGAGTTTGTCGCAGTGTCCTATAGCGTGCTTTTGTTCTGTGTTGAGTTTGTTGTAGTGTTACACAGCGTGCTTTTGTTCTGTGTTGAGTTTGTCGTAGTGCTCCACAGCGTGCTTTTGTTCTGAGTTGAGTTTGTCGTAGTGTTCCATAGCGTGCTTTTGTTCTGTGTTGAGTTTGTCGTAGTGTTCCATAGCGTGCTTTTGTTCTGTGTTGAGTTTGTTGTAGTGTTCCATAGCGTGCTTTTGTTCTGTGTTGAGTTTGTTGTAGTGTTCCATAGCGTGCTTTTGTTCTGTGCTGAGTTTGTTGTAGTGATCCATAGCGTGCTTTTGTTCTGTGTTGAGTTTGTTGTAGTGTTCCATAGCGTGCTTTTGTTCTGAGTTGAGTTTGTCGTAGTGTTCCACAGCGTGCTTTTGTTCTGTGTTGAGTTTGTTGTAGTGATCCATAGCGTGCTTTTGTTCTGTGTTGAGTTTGTCGTAGTGTTCCAAAGCGTGCTTTTGTTCTGTGTTGAGTTTGTCGTAGTGTTCCATAGCGTGCTTTTGTTCTGTGTTGAGTTTGTCGTAGTGTTCCATAGCGTGCTTTTGTTCTGTGTTGAGTTTGTCGTAGTGCTCCATAGCGTGGGAGTGTTCAGCCTGAGCGTCGAAGACGGAAGATGAATGACACATCGGAATAATGTCTGTGAGGGGTAGGTGTAATTTGTGCAGGTTGAGGCCATGTGGTTGAAGCATGTCATTTATTTTTGCTAGAGCATGCATGCAAGCGGTGCGTGTGGAATATGTTCTGAGAAAGTCCTCAGAAAGGGAGAGTTTATGCGTGTCCCAAAGGTGTGGAACGTTTTGTGGTTCGCCGAAGACACAGATGAAAACGAAAAGTTGTCGCAAAAAAACGCTGGCATTCGTATCTCAGATGCCTCTATAAGTGTATCATGCCATATCTTCTCGTCTTTAAGGAGACCCAATAGTTGGCACGCCTCTTTGAAAGTGTTACATTCCACGCAGTTGACAGTTCGTAGATGCTTGAAACTCGTGATGCTTACGGAACGGGTAAGGAGAAGCCTGAGGTAATAACGTTCGGTGTCGTGAATGGCAACAACAGGCATTCTACCGATCACCTTTGCACCTCTTCTAATTCTCTTTTGCTATTGTCCAGAGTATTGTTGGAATGTGTAATGTTGGGGAACATCAGTGCTTCACTGAGTAAGAACAACGTACAGGGCGTCGCCATAGTTAACCCAATGTTCGCAAACAAAGCTTATAGCCATCTTGCGAAGTTCGAGATTAACAGTTTTGTCGATGAAATTTTTCCAGAAATATGCGAAGAATAGAAATAACAGTTACCTGATGAAGGAACTTCGACTACAGTGAAAGACATGTTGACTCAACGAAATATATGTGAAGCGGTGGCCATTGTTAGGAAACAAAGGGGAAAAAT